TTGATTAGTCCGGTTTCTAACAGACCACGGTATTTTTATATATATTAATTTAATGTATGTATTGTCAAAAATACATAAATCTAAGAAAAAGACAAAGTAGAAATCAATAAATTTTGTCATTAAGTATTTAATAAAATTTAAATTTAAATACATATGAAATTTATACATTCTTTCACTTGTGCTATGTGGATGTGAAATAGTTTTTTGCATAATGTCCACAAGTTTGTTTAGGAGGGATTCTAGTAACCGATTTACTAAAGTTTGAAATTTTACTCTGAATTGTCTTCATTTGTAGGTAGTTATGTTGGGTACATACCATTATGCATTAGTGAATGTAGTATTTTCGATTAGAATTGTTGAAGTATTTCAATGTTGGAATTGCTTGTTCAACCCCAAAACTTCAGTCCATTCGAGCAGAGTAGTTTGAGATTGGCTTAATAAGCTATTACTTTGTTATACATCGGTAGTTCCTGACATTCTATCTAACTTCTAACTACTTACGTGGGACGTCTATAAACCTAATATATGTTAAATTCTTGACATTCGACAATACATCTTTACTTACTAATTTCTTTATTTTTCAATTATTGTCAATAAATAACATCAATAATTTACAACAAATAATAGGTTTCATCTTAGAATTTACAATCTACAACAGCATAGTCCGGATTATCAATTTCACCAATATTCTATATTTTTAAAACCGGACTAATCGAGGACTTTTAAACGGCATAAAAATAAACAGCACAAAAAGAGACTTGATGGGAAACATATCGACTATTTAAGTATACAAAATAATGTCATGTAACATTTTTTTTTTTAATTTATTTTTCTCAATTACAATTTAGTTTGTTTTGAATCTGGACTATGCGAAGTATTGCTGTACATATTATTTTTTAAATTTTAGACATTTTATTTCTTTGTTGAAAAGCATATGAAAAAAAAAACAACAGAAAAAGTTACTATTCCAAAAATGTAATTTGTTTTATGCGTAGTCCGTAATTAAACTGAATATGAGTTGAAAAAAGTTGCGAGGAATTCTGTGTTTAACGACAGGAGAGAAAAAAAAACGAACAGGTTAAAATGCAATGTAAATATTCCACAATTCCCTTGCATTTGTCTCGCTGTATGTCATTTAGTTAATTTACGCGTTGCATCAAAAACACACATGTAACGTTTTATTTTAATTGCATTTTCCGTTTGTGCTTTTACTATTTCATTAATTCATCATTGCATTATATAATAAAATGCGTTATTAATTATCCATTTATACGTTTTAAACGCGATAATTGGATTTAGTATTAATTGTTCATATTATAATCTTCTTTTTAGAATTAATAAAAAAGAAATTTATTTTGACCGGGCAATTAGATTAGTTCAAGCAATTTTTAATAATAATTAGCATGTTTATTGCACTAATTATAAAATTATAAAACTAATTACATATAGAAAATACAAACAAATAAAATTAATCCTTTATTTAAAAATTATTTTAAAAATTAGATAGAAAAAAAGCCTTAAATAATTATATTAACCTTAAAAAGGAAAAGGAAATGAAACATTTGCTAATGTAATCAATATCCTATCTAAGTAATAATCCAAGAAACCCTAAAATGTTAATTTGATAATCTTAATCTTGGAGATATAAATAAAAAAAAAAAGACTATGGGACTTATCGAGAAATTTAATACAAACCAAAAATAAACTTCACAAAAGACACTTGGCTGTATAAAGGAAAAAAGAAAAGTTATCATTTATATATAAAAAAATATTTCTTTGTATTAATAAATAACATAATTAAATAAAAAAATCAAAACCCATAAGGGAAATATTCAAACTGCCATATAATAAGAAATTCTTATTTTTAAATTTAGTTTGTTTTGAAAATTTGAAACCGGATAGATCGAAACCGTACAATTCGAGATATTTTTGTAATGAATTTATGTTTTTAAAAATACACTGTACTTCTAAACATTGTTCATATATTTTTGATAATTGAATATTGAAACAGTCTTACATAAGTATATTATTCTTTGGACAGGAAATGTATGGGGGCCAAATGAAACAATTATTAATAAATCAATAAAGGAACTTTTGAAGTAATCTTACAAAGTAAGTTTGAAAATATTAAAACTGAATATATACAGACTAAAATAAGTTTATGAAAACGAATCATGGGAATACCAAAATTGCCTTAGTCAATATGTGTATACATATGGATTGAAATAAATAATGTATTAAAACTCCAACAAAAGATACAAAAAGATTTAATTAGTGTATTATAATATATAATATAAAGGTCATATAAGAAAACTATTAATATATTTTATAGTTGTTACTTGAAAACTTAGATGTAATAACAAAACAAATTATTATTGAATTAATTGTTAATATCAAAGGGACAGGCGATTACAACTAAATTTTCTCTTCTTGTGATCACCTAAAATGTTTCTTAGAAATATAAATATTTGTTTGATTCGCATAGAAAATATAATTCATAAGATGGAATTATTTCAATCGATAGCTCGAAAAGATTTTGCAATTTTTGTATTTTCAATTTTGATTTTAATTTAATCTCATTATATTGTTGTATTTATTTAACTTATTTTAAATTGTCCTAAACACAAACGAGTTTAAATTTGTATATTGTTAAAATAAAAGCGAAAAACTTTGTTAATTTACTTTTTCAGAAGATTGTTATTCTATTTTGAAACATATTATGAATATAAAGTATAACCTCGGCACTCGACACGAAAAAAATTTATACATTTTCATTTTGGTACACATTTATTTTGGTACTCGTCACAAGTTTCTGAACGAATTTCCAATAAATATCAACGTATATTACTATATTATAAAGTCTTAGTAATGAAGTAAACAATTGTGATTTGACTGGAAAAAGACAGGAATCAATAACCCGTTCTATATATAAACAATAAATATTTTTTATTATATAATTTAGATTTGGTACATTTTAATTATAAAAAGAAACACTCAGTTTCATACGCTAATAAATATATAATTTTGAAAGAAATTAACTATCCTTATTCATAAATATTAATAGTGAATAACTATTAAAAAGCTGACATTAAATTGTAATAGTTGTGTCAATTGGAAAATATAAATTATTCGTTTATTTTCAAAGAGAATATTATTAAAAATAAAATTAATTTTATTAATTGAACAAGAAAATTGAAATATTAATTTAATTTAAGAGTTCGTGAATAGAAAAATTGTTGATTTGAGTATAAACTTGTCCCAAAATTCACACAGGCAGTAGTTTTGATAGGTTAATTGCAAATTGTAATTTTTTAATTGACTCATAACGTATACAGTATATGATTATGTATTATGCAATATTTGAAAAAATATGAAAGTTTGGAAGCTACAGTTCGTACAAAATATGGTCGGAATGGAGATGAACACGTTCAGTGCCATGAGCATCACCGGTGATATCAGTTTGCTCATACTCATGGCACTTAAGTTAAGCATCACGGGTGATATCAACAAAAATAAATGAAATATTTATATAAGTCATATATATTAGTTGAAATAATGGGTCGATTATCAAAGAGAAAAAAAAAAATAATTCGATTTTTTTCTCTGTTCCTAAATTGCAAGATATGAATGTCAACGACATGAAGCTTCAACAAAACGGTGACACATGTCATGCTCGAGTTATAATTAAATTACTGCATGAGTCATTTCCCAAATCATGCGATTCAACGCAGTTGGACTTTTATTTATTGCAAAAAGCTAATGGAAAAATTAAAAAATGAATCAATAAAAAAATAGAATTTGCAATTAAATTTGCGACAACATTGATAGATTTTCATAAACTAGTGATTAGGATCTTAAATAATCTAATATTACAATATAGAAATAACTTTAATATATTGCAGAGTTAAGAAATATAAATTGGGCAATTGGCCGCAGTTACAATTTAATATATTATAATTCAATGAATCATAATATATCAAGTGTTAATTTCCATCTAAAATTGCTTATTGCATATTACTTAGTTTCGAGCAAACTCCGTTATTAATCGATGCTATATACGAAGGGCTTATGTCAGTTTAATTCTGCACCCATAATAAGATCTGACGGTGCGGGCTCAAATTTATGGTGGATGCGCCGGGACAGAGACCTCGAGCGCTCTGCTCATTCCGTTTTCAACCAAATAATACCAAAAAAAGGAAGAATAAAAAGAGAAGAAGCTCACACTATTTGTCTTATCTCTTCTTGTTATTGTTCCCCACGAAAGGATAACGCTGCTGCAAGCACTCGGTTCCTTTTGTTTTCGCGAGACGCTTAGTTTGCTTATGGGAAACTACTCGACAATTTCCCGACCGGAAGCCGCACCGCAAATACGGCCAAAATGCAGGTATTACGCTGGACGACCGTCCGCTCCAACAAGAAGAAGAAGAAGACGGTAAACCACGAAGAAAAAATACGAAGGTTGTTTGCGCACAGTTTGATTATTAATTTCGTGTCTTTGTCCGCGTCGCGTATCTAATCTGCGTGGATATTAAAACTTTTTTTTTGTTTTTTTGTGTGTTTCTGTTTGCTCGTTTTGTTTTCCGTTTTTGCAAATCGAAAAACTTATGTATCTGTCTAATCCCGGCACGGCCGTTGATCACTGGAGTACACAGAAATGAAACTATAATCCCACTTGTAAATAGTGATTTTTCGGCTTATCAGCCTGTATCCACTCGTGGGTGCAGTTATAAACGATTAGCGTGTAATTAATTAGATAAGCCACTGGGACATCGTGGTTCGAAATAAATTACGAATTTGTTGATATACGGAAATTTTAGTGTTTTTTGTCCCCCACGCGTTTTTTTCCTTTCTCTGTGTGATTGCATGTGCGTATTTCACCCTCTCTGCATCTATCTGTCACCGTCCGTGTGCATATTTGCGTACGTGTGTGTGAGCGAGTGCGTGGCTATTGGTGATGAGGCGGAGTTAGCGTCGCGACGTCGACGCCGTTTCCAGTATATAAAAGATGAACAGGACCTCAGCGTGCTAACTCTGCGTTTCCACTACCGGCTCCGCACCTCCACTGCAAAGACCGAAGGACCTCCGATCCTACAACCTCCAACCACCGAGCAGTAAGTCAAAATCTTTCTTCCATTTATTTTAACCCAACTCTAAATCTTAAATCTAATAGAAATATCCAACATTTTCCACACATTTTATAGTAAAAAAATCTACTTATTTTATAAAATTAATTACAATTATAACAAAGTTTATACTTCAAATCAAGTCAACAATTTTTCAATTCACCAACTCTCTTATTTATTAAATTAATACTAAAATTTTCTTTTTCAATTATTAAAATTCATTTTATTTTTAATATTATTCTCTTTTAAAGTAAATTCGTTTTCGGTGACGGATAAATATTTTTTTCTGTATTTATATTAATAAATTTGACCCAACTACAACTTGAAGAAAATTCTCTTAATTCATTATTAAAATTCTTAAAGAAAAGAAGTTACGTACAAATTTTACATATTTTATTTGTATATGCAAATTTATTTTAAATTATTACATATCTTTATTTATACTTCATTTTTCATAAGTTTTATTATTGAATATTCTTAATCAATTGTTTAATAAATGGAATTTTTTATCATGAAATTTCTCTTGTTGAAATTGATTTCTATTTTTAAAACGTATTAAGAATAAACATAATTATTCAATTATTATTTTATAAATTTGAAACAAAATGCGTTGAATTGATTTTTAATTGTAATTAAGTAAATATTTAATAGTGTCAACTTTTATTATTTCACTAAAATTGAATAAAATTAATCAATGATAATTTATAAGTAAATCAGATAAATTTATTAATTAAAAAATATTTTCCATATGTATTTTCTATGATTCTGGTGGTTTTTGAAGAATTATATTACGTCTTCTATGAAATTAATAAATTATAAGAGAATTTATATAATATAATTATATAAATTCCCTTGTTTTCAAATTAATACATTATATTAAATAAAACAGAATTGCCTATAATAATTATTTAACACAGTAAATATTGTGTTAAAATTATTAATTAATAACTTTTAGAGGTAAATTTGATAAAATTATATGTTAATTAATATTGCTAATTAAAAATAATATTTAATAGATCACATTTCCTTGTTTATTGAATTAAAATTATATAATTCAAAAATCGTTGCATATTTTGCTGCAAATAATGATTTATCTCTATCATTCATGAAAATGTTATTTTATATAAATGGAACAAGAAAATTTTTCATTATATGTTTTATACGATTTATATATATAAATATTATTAAAATTCAATGAAACTCTACACTTGTACATTTATTTGGACAATTCAAAATTATAAAGAGAAAGATTACAAATATGTTTTTTTTTGTCTAAACTTTACATTTTTATTAATTTCTTGAGAAAATTTGCGAATTTCCAGAGAATATAACAAAAAAAATATTATATTTTTAAATTCAGTTATTACTTTGTAAAGAGAACAAAATATGAAAATCCATGATATATAAGTTTAGGTAATATATAATAGTTTTGTTGTGACATTTACGTCATTTTCAACTGAAATTAATTTTGTGCAATTTATTTTTATCTAAGAAGCTACACGGAAGAATATCCAGCAAAGAAATTATTTACAATTTACTTCAAAGAAATGTTACGTGTCTTGAAAAACAGATTGAAAATAATTTGGGAAATATTCGTATTTTCAGTTTATATAAAATGTTAGTTTAACTGTTATGAATTCATGTATTATAGACATAATAACTTATAAAAGTTTAAGAAAAATATAACAAAAAAATATACTGAATTTTATAGTTATATTTTCATAACTAAGTCATCGATAAATATAAAAAATATAAAGATTTTCTTCCAATTAGTTCAAAAATATTTTATTTTTTAAAATTTTAGTAAAATTATTGAGAGAAATTAAAAGAAATATTTTCCCTTTTTCTATTATTAAAACTGTTTTATATACTTTTTAATAATGTTACGTTATTAATTGCTATGTTGGAAATTGATACTGAAGGACCTTGGGTTTAAATAAAAAAAATATTTTCTGTGAATTTATTAAAACAAATAACTGAAATTGATGATGACGACAAACTATATGAAATTTTATAGTTCTCAATTTGGTTATTGGCTATAAACGTTTAATCTAAAATCAAATTATCCCATGTATTCATTGTGAAAACAAACCACGTATAGTACGGTTAATCGATTCCGCACTGTTTAGAACATCACTAACTAACATCGAATACTTTAAAATTGCATAAAAATAAACATCACGAAAAGTAGAGTAAAAAAAGATCATAATTGTGTACTAATTTATTAAAATAACTTTTTATTTTTGTCGAATAAAACTTAGTTTATTTTGAAATTTTTAAAACAAATCCGCCTTAATCTAAACAGCACTATATAAAGTATTGTCGTTGTAAAAATTGCTTAAAATGTATATTGTTTAATGCAAATATTGAATAATGATTATGTGTAAGATAAGCTCAATTATCTGTCACACATTCAATTCAATTTAAATTACTGTATACTGTGGAAACAGGTTGTTAAATCAGAATTGAATGGGGAAAATAATGGAAACATTTTTCTTTGGTATTCAGTAAACAGTGCGGAAATGTACCGATGTTTATTTAGGATGTTTCGGTGTATTCGATTGATATTGGTATCTTCACATCTTCCTGCATATCCATATAAATTTACAATCAAATACTTTCAAACGAAATTGCAAATATTTTAATATTCGATGCGAGTTCCATATAAATCGTAGAATATTTACATCCGCTATTTCGCATCAATATATTTTCAACCTGATTCCTTATTTTGTTATTCAATTGTTACGTAACGCATATATCCAATATTAGCCATTTTTTTACTATAACCACTAGATCTTAGATTTCATACTATTCAATTTCATTCATAAATCAATACAAACTTTAAACAAATCAGAAAAACTTTGATTTATAATTGTCATTAAATGCAACCGTTGCAATAATAATTACTATTATATAATTGTAATAAATATTATAATTAGGTAAAAAAATATTTTTCTTGTGATTCACGTAATTCTTATGTGCAAATGCAACATAACTAGCATAGTCCGTAATCGGTTCCAATATCTCGGACTGTTTGAAACCGAAGATATCGAGATAACCGAGTATAAATAACAATTTTCTTTTATTTAATTTGTTTTGTAATTTCCGGTTTGAAACTTTCTGTAGTTAATCCGGACTAATCGAAATCGCACTATGCGAGATATTGCTATTTTTCATCTAAATTTGTTAAAATACTCCAATATATCGCAATACAAAGAAAACATACAAGAAATAGTATTTTCTTAGTGTTTTATAATTATTAATTTAAACGTAATACTTCTTATTATTCAAGTCTTTAGTTTTAAAGTTTAAATTAAATATTAAATCAAATAAATTTTGATTAAATTCTATAGATTTTTATGAAAAACTATTTTTAACAAAGTTATTTTTTAAAACATTTTATTTTGTAAAACTTTTGTAATTTTTATAAATTTTGTAAGAAATATTATAATTATGTTAACAAATATTTATCTAGTAAATCAAGTAATTCTTATGTGCAAATACAGCCTACCTCGTATAGACCGGGTAATCGGTTTCAATATCCCGGACTGTTTGAAACCGGACTAATCGAAATAAACATCACAAAAAACATGATTTATGTATAAAAAAAACAATTTTCTTTTTCTTTTATCAATTCAAATTTAATTTGTTTTTAATAACCGGTCTGAAACTCTCTTAGAACATTCAGACTATTCGAAACCGTACTATGCGAGATATTGCTATTATTATACATTTATTTTATTGTAAGAACCGAATTAACATTAGTGATTAGTGATTGAAAATGTTCATCTAAAATTGGTAAAATTGTTCAATACATTCGCAATTTTATAAATTAAATATTATAATTATATAAACAAATATTTATATAGTTATTCAAGTAACTCTTATGTGCAAATACAGCCTACCTCGTATAGTCCGGGTAATCGGTTCCAATATCTCGGACTGTTTGAAACCTGACTAATCAAAGACTTAAAATGCTCATAGCAATAAGCATCACAAAAAACATGATTTATCAATAAACGATAATTTTGTGTACTATTTTTTTAAAATTTAATGTTCTTTTATCAATTGAAATTTAATTTGTACGGTAATTTCCTGCCTAAAACTTTCTATAGTAAATCCGGACTAATCGAAACCACACTATACGAGATAATGATATTACAAACATACAAAAAATGGTATTTTCTTAGTTTTATAATTAATCATTGAAACGTGATACTTCTTATCCTTCAAATTTGTTAGTTTTAAAGTTTAAATTTTGATTAAATTCTATAAATCTTTATAAAACAAACTATTTTCAACTCAAGTTATCTTTTAAACATTTTACTGTAACTATGAATAAAATATTACAATATGCAAAACATACAAACATCTGGTATTATTTGTGTTATGTTTAAAAAAAAGTGCGTAATTAAAACGGAATATTTTCAAAGCACAAAATTTTAATTGAAATTTCACACGTTTCCAGACAATACTTCGCATTCGCACAACCAAAATCCGGTATGAACAATAACGTGAAAATTGAAATTCGTACGCATTTTCATATAATTTTTTCAAAATAAATTAAATTAGCACTGCGCGTAATTAATTGTACTGTGTGCGCGCGATTAGGATTTTCCAGTATTAAAAGTAATTAAAATAGGTCACGCAACGGTATAAAAGTTATAATTAAATCGACGAAACTTCCGCAATCATTACCACATTTGTAATTAAAAATTAGCTAATTAGATTTGCAAATTAACAACGGCAGCCGAAAAATAACAACAAGAAAATCAAAGGCAAATAAAAAAAAGGTGAATAAAATATTTTGTGTTTTCGTTTTTTGTGGGCAAGGAACAGCGATAAATCTATATGGAAAGGAATGGAATGGAAAGGACGAGCGCTTCGAACGCTTGAGGCTAGTCTACCTTTCGTTGAGAAATTATTTGTCCGTTCGTTATTGTTTTTATTTAAATTGGAATGAAAATAGGATCAATCCTTTAAAATCG